TAGTCTTACATCTAATAATAAGCATAAACATCACCATCAATAAATCAAGAATTTGCAGAGAACTTACATGCTATATGACTAGGCATGTGCTAGGAGACAACATTCTTTTCTCTCATTTCATTCAATTGATATTGATAAGAACCATGTGAGTCTGTCAATATCTAATTGACTTGTAAACATGGAAAACCACACAGTTCAACTTAATAATTATAAAGTTTCCCTCATGGACAGCACACATAGGAATTATTATAGATCATGTGATGCCTTCACAGAAGAGCAATGCGAACAGCCAGCAAAATCCTTACAACATTTTCTCCAAAATCAGAGGCAGTGTGATATTTAAGGCTCCTTTACGGTGACATGTTCATTGCTTGGCATGCTGTCATATGTAGGGGAGAAAATACTCACAATATCTGACAACAGATTAATATCTTTATATATAAAGAGCTTCTGTAAAACAAGAAAAATATAAGCCATGCAAGAGAAAGACAAGCAACAGACTTCAAGAGATAAGTCCCTAAAGGAAATAAACAAAATTACCAATAAGTAACTGCCCACTGAGGAATAGGCTCTCTTAACAGAATCGACACCAAGGGAATTAAAACATTTGAACAGAAAAAGGCAAAGAACTAGAAAAACAAGAAGACAGATCAGTGTCTAGAATGGCATGAGCCATTCAGTAACTTGATCTGGAGGCACATACAGATATCCAGATACAGACACGTGCCAGCTGAATGTACAACCATTCTTGTTATAGCATGGGCAAGTAAAGAGGTGAGTGCAAATGACCTGAGTCCTTATCTATCACCCTCAACTATGGATGGATAGTTAAGTCGATAGATAGCTGCAGAAACATAATTTTAAGAAATCTTGTGGTTAGTAAAAGTCACCTCTACAAAGCAAAGCTAGAGGCTCAAGAGGACAGGAAAGGACACTGCTAAGTATTTTTTTACTGATATCTGATTTTTTTTTAAATAGGTACATTAAGTTGATGAGAATTTTTAAATATTAAATGGTTAATGATTGATATGTGGTTATTTACATAACCGTGGGGAGAAGGCATCCAAGAGATTCCTTGGTAGCAGCTTTTATTCTGCTACCCCAGGAGCTACTTTCTTCTGCACTCTGAACTTTTTCCTTCCTCTGCTGTGAGCCTCCGCAGGTAAAGGGGTCTCTCCATCCCCATTTGTTCTAGCAATGGTGTGTGACTCAGACCCAAATCAACTACTGTCTTGGTCCTTACTCATAGTACATTTTCTCCCTTAGACATAGGTACAAGATCCACTGCGACCAGTGAGAGCTACCCTCCCCCCCAAAAAAAAATCTATAAAAATTCTGAACGAAAGACATGTGCTTTCCTGGGGCTAGCAAGAGAAACAAGTAGAATGACACCTGTGCCCTGATTGCATGGAGGCTTCAAGTTTGTCTGGTTCTAATCAAAAGAGGTGTACTGTAGGAGCTCAATGGGTTGCTCAAGTGCAAATCAGACTTGCTATGAGTTAACTGTGTCATCAACCTCTTCCTCATCTGCAAAATGAGAGTAGTAAAGGTACCTGAGTTAATTACACAATTTAATATATATAATGTGCGTAAATATGCATACATTTATGTATGTGCAAGAATGCATAGACATCTAGTTAGAACACATATTAATATAGTAAAAATCAATTAACTGTCTTATGTGCAAGGTCTAAATGTAAATTATTATTTAGTTTTATTATGACTGATTAAATTCTTCTAAGTCAGTTTGATTTTCCTGACAGTTGGTGGGATCCTGACTTACCCACCTCAAAGAAAAGCCATGCAATCCAACTGATAGATTTACGAATCTTCACATAAACACTGCCATTATCATAAAAAATAACTCTTCAAAAGTGAACACAAAAGCAAAAAAAAAAAAAAAAAAAAAAGTTCTAAGCCTTAAAATTAGTAGCATCGTTGCCCTTACATATAACAAGATTTAACGTGAAATTTCAAAACAAATTGAAAACAAAGGGGAATATAACAGTTCCAATTTCAAGGAGTAAACAAATGACATTAATAATAAACTACTTTTCCCAAGAATACACCTAAATGCTATTACTCAAAGCTGGCTAGTGTCCCATGGACTGCTGGAAAGGAAAAGAAGATCTAAATAGTCAGGAAGCAATTCAGCCATAATAAAAATATGCATAATTATTTTTAGAAATTGACCGAAGGTCATAATTATGACTGTGTGCAAATATTCTCCCTGGTCTTACTGGCTTGCCTTTATATAAAGAAACAGTGAGAAATAAATATCTAAAAGTATAATTCATTAAAGTCTGTATGTTTCAATATTATATTGAGTCATGTATAATATGCACATGGCTAGAAGGCAGTTCACAATTATTTAAGGAAATAAATGTTACCCAACAGTGGAGGTTAAGCCCATTCAGTTGTATAAGCATGTGCATGTGTGTGTGGAATGTCTCATAGACCACATGTCAGATAAGAATAAAGTCTCTGCGTTATCTTAGCCAAAAGACTGAGAAGTGAAGATAGTAAAATCTCTAGAAGGCAGAGCTATGACATTCCTAATCTGTTGCATTTAGCTCCTCTTTACATGTATATGTAATTCTTTCTCCTATGAACTCTCACTGACTTTTGATTTAAGAGAAAACACACACACATTTTAAATTTGCAGAAAGCTGTAAGTCACCTCAGAGAGTAATTGCAGGCAGGCATCTGCAGCCAGACTGTGCTCAAGTCATTAAGTGGGGCAGAGTTGAGAAGAAAGTCAGCCTTCTTTAACAAAATCCTCTTTATCCAAGCAAGGAGCCATGGGTCTGACAAACATGTGTGGCATCCAGTTAGTGAAATGGGGAGCAGCATGAACTGGGAGGAAGAGACCAAAGAAGGAGAAAGAGGGGACCGACAGGGAAATTCCAACAAGCACAGCTGTCAGCTGGGCAGCGCTGGGCAGCGCTGGGCAGCGCTGGGCAGCGCTGAGCAGCTGCATCCCCTCCTGTCCACCATACCCCAGTGCCGCCCAGGTTCAAAGACGGGACAGAATCCCTCCTATCAGCCTCTTGGTGTCTTAACTCCCTATATAGCACAACAGGCACAATACGTAAGTAATAATCCCAGGGAAGAAAATAAGAGACTCGAAGCCTTGTGAAGGCCCCTTGAACTGCCAGTTATTGAAGAGTGGGCATCATCCACAATGGACAGCAGAATATACATTCGACTTTAAGCATGAAGAAATTAGTTTTCAATGGTTCGTACAGGTTGGGATGGAAAGACTACAGTTCCTTTCATTTTTTTTTTTTTTTGGAACATATTAACAGCTGGTGGCCTAGATTAATACGTAAAAAAGCAAACCGTATCACAAAATCACTTCACAGATGGGAAGCCAACTCAGTGAAAAGCCTCAGACAAAAGATTCAAGTGATTATTTTAGGGGGAGGGTAAGTACAAGCGGATGAAATGAAATGTGGGAAAATGACGACCAAGTCTTTTCTAGATCTCGAGGCTGGCAAACATTTCTGGACCAGCACACGGGGATGGAAAGGGACCAGTAGCTTGGCTAATTCAGCTTCCGAGGGAGTGGCAGGAGGAGGACCCTGGAGTTCAGGATGAGCTTGAGTAGATATTAAAAGCAATACAATCCTCTTACAGCGCTGGGAGGGACTTCAGGCCGCCACCGAGCCTGGGAAATGGCAGAGTTCTATGCCCCCTGGCTCAGCTCTTTGCGCGGCTCGAACTGGGGGCAGCCTGTAAACTGGATATAAAGAGGGTAAGTACTGTCAGAGTGAGAAACAAGGAAAATCTGATTTCCAGAAAGACAAACATCCATCGTCCCAGGGACAGAAATTAATGTCATGTGAAGCAGATGAAGTTCAGTTTCCCAGCTGGGGATGGATCGCTAGCTCAAGTTCACTTTCAAATAAAGTGCTCAAGCTCCAGTACAAATGTCTTTTGCTTAGGACTCACGAAGACCTTAGGAGGGTCAGATACAGTAGGGAAGCTAGGGAACCCAGCGCCTGTAAAATGCTCACGAGCACACACACACACACACACACACACACACACACACACCAGAGATGGTCTTGCTATGGATCTGGGTTGAGTTTGTTCATATCCCTCTGGAAGAGACATTAATTAGAATGAGTAATTTACTCTTAAACTTAAAAAAAAAAAAAAAAAGGAAGAAAAAAAAAAAACCTGCGACCCCAGCTCCTCTGAAAAAAGTGGGTTTTGTTCTGCTTCTTCTTAAGTAGAGAAACAAGCATTTTGTGCAGAGATGTGCAGAGGAGAACTCTGAGGTCGAGGTTATTTATTTTTGACCTTCCAGAGGGCACCAGCTTTAAAATCGACGCGGATACATAGGGGGAAGTGTGTGTTCGCTGGAACTCCAGGTCACCACTGTACTGAGGTGCTGCTTGTTTATTGCCAGTCCCATTGGTCCAGCACATCCGGGAGTGTCTTCTCTGTTTAAAGTCATTCGTTTCGATCGACCTCACTCAACTAGCCACAACACCCCCACCCATGAAGAAGAGATGCGACAATCTCCCTCCCGGATCTGTGGCCGCGGAAGCCTGAGCTGCGTGCGGGAGAGCCTGAGCTCGGGAGATGCAGGCGCGGGGAGATGGAGGCGCCCAGGGACCCGGTCTGCTCCGGGTGCAGCCAAAGAGCAGCTGCACCTGCCATCCCTAGTCTTGGGAGGCGTGCCCAGGAGTGGCCACCCTGGGCGGGCTTTAGGAGTCTGGAGCACTCCGCGCCTGGGGGTCCGGGGGTCTGCTGATCCCTCGCGTGCCCACCGCCGGGCTGTGCCCACACTGTCTGAATGGATCCTGCCCGACTGCAAAGGCTAGGAGCAGAGACAGGGGACTCCTCCGCTCCACGCTTGCTCGGGCTCCGCAGCGCGCCGCACCTGGACCCGCGGCCCTGCAGCGCGCAGCCTGCGCGAGGCCAGCACCGCCGTCGGCACCAGCACCGCCTCGCGCCACCTGCCCCGCAGCCAGCCGCCCTCTGCTGACCTTTTCCTGCGCGCGGTTGAGCCGCTTCTGCACGTTCTTGGCGAAGATGCCCGTCTTGATGTCGGCCATGGTTGCTGCGGTCCGCAGTGCTGGAAGAGCAGAGCGCGCAGCCGGCCGGCAGCGGCGGAGGAACCCAGGAAGAGGAGGAGGAGGAGCGGGAGGAGGAGCAGCAGAGGCGTGAGGAGCAGAGGAGGCAACGGGTGAGGGAGGGGCGCAGCGACGGGGACCGGCTTAAAGAGATAGAGCGGAGGTGCGACCTCTAGGGGTGACACCGCCAGGAGTGAGGTGCGTGGAAGGGGAGGGGAGAAATCAAATGCCAAGTGTCCACTGGGATGGAGAAGGAGGTCAGAAGGTGATGAAAATGGAAGAGTCCTCACAATCCTAGGGCTTGGAGGCAACTGGGGGGCCAGGGGGAAAAGAGGGGCGGATAACAGAAGGTTCATGACAAGGAGAGTCAGAAGGCCCCCAACTAAAGAACGCGAGGAAGTGGGGAAGAATTTGCAAGGCTCTAAAACACCAAATGATGACCTCCTCAAAACACCTTGAGTGGAGAAGGAATGAGCCCAGCTACCCACCCTGCAGAATCTCATACCCGTGAGGGAGGCTGACTGCAAAGTCCCTGCAGGACAGTTTGCAAAAGAGAGAAGGTGGAGGGACCGCTGTGACACTTATTTCATTTTGAATATGGGGCTTGGGAGTGGAGAAGCCCATGCTGAGAAGGGCCAGCTCCTACAGACAGGTGCTGCACCTTGCCAGCTCTCAAATTCCCACGCAGCCAGCAGTTTTCCCAAGAAGTAGTGCAGTGAGAAGAGCAGTGACTGGGGGCTTTCTCGGATATCCGGGTCACGTGAGGGCTCCTTAACAACCTTCCGTCAGTTGTGTTTGTTCTGTTGTTTTTTGAGACAGGCTCTTTCTGTGTGATCCTGCCCACTGCGCCAACTGTAGCGGGTAAGAAGGTAGAGACGTGCAGTTGCAGTTAGTTTAACAAAAAGTTCTATTTCCTTATGCTGAGAGTCGTCACACAAAGTTCAGACTCTAAGTTCCTAACTACGCTCCTAGGCCTACCTCGCCAAGGCTGCTTGCCTGTGCCACGTATCTCAGCTAAAGGACAGGTCCAGTCTCTAGCAGTTGTCTCTGATTCGACGATCAGAACCCTGGGGCTAACTCTCCAGCCACAGAGCAGATCAAGGTCTCCCCAGATGTGCCAAGCAGAGCACTGTTCTTGGTCTCTCTTTATGTACTGTCCAATGGGCATCGTCCTGTGCTAGGCCTGTGTCTGGTTATCTTTAGGGGATGATGCTGCTGCTATCTGGTTATCAAGTGGAGCCTTGGGTGTAGTGGAGGTTTCTGACGAAGCTATTTTTATATGTCTTAAAGGCTTTTAAAAAAAACAAAAAACTATGCTCATTACACTGGCTGTCCTGGAACTGGCTATGTAGACCATGCTGGCCTTGAACTCAAAGAGACCTGCCTTTTTCTGCTTCTTGAGAGGGGGGAATTAAAGGTGGCCCTTTTTGACAGTCTTAACAGGAAGATGTGCTCCTATGTGCATCTGGCAAAGGTTAGGCAGAAAGGAAGCTCCAGAAGGCTCTGACAACAGGAAAACTATTCATCTATTCATTTTCAGGCTTCACTTAGGGTTAGACCAGAGACAGGGGGGTGGCATCCAACAATCGTAAGTCAGAGGTAGTGGCAGGCACCAAAACAGGGAAGTGAGTGTCCTGCTCTCCTCTAGAGCAGCCCCTAGCATCATCCTCCTGTTGGCTATAGTTCCAGTGCCTCGGTTTTGGAAGGGCGCTGTTGCCACTTGAATGCATAAGATATGGTGTAAGGGCAGTGTGCCAGGTGAAGGTCTCAGCCTTGAAAAGCTCGATGGAATTTACACTCTGTGGAACCCTCTATAGCCAAGTAAAAAAGACTCAACTACCCTGATATTAAAATTAAATAGAAACAAACAAGCAATGGCTATGAAGAGGCCATATGGGAAGGGAAGAGGTTTTTGTTGTTGTTGTTGTTGTTTTTTTGTTTTTTGTTTTTGCATGCATTGGAGAAAGAAAACACAAATGTCCCAATTATTCAACCAACTCCCTAGCTGAATGTGGCCACACAGACACATGACCAAGCCCTGAAGAAGAGCTGTCCAGTGGATCCCAGTCCAGAATGCAGAACGGAAAATAAACACCATTGTTTCATAAACACTAGGCACCTTGAATAGCTCATCTGCTCCCATAACTCTTCCCTAGGATTTTCTGTCCAATTTGCCTGGTAATGAATTGCTTCTCAGGACACAAGACTCTCAATGCTAAAACTGGGGGGTGTTGGGCAAAGCAAAATGGGTTGGCCACTCTGTTTAGAGCAGTCCACATAAGCAGATGTTTACCTTACAAAGAAATGAGAATGTTGATTCTTGCTCTTGTTCAACATACAGTGAAAAAGACAACTTAAAGTTAGACATTTTAGTCAGTTCTCTCTAGTGAAGGAAGAGGGACTCAGAACCTTGGTTTCGCCCTGAGATTTGGACAGAGAATACAACCTTAAAAATGACAGAAGAGATCAGAATGTGCTGGAATTTATCTCTTCATGGTCCCTTTTACAGCATCAGTGCCTGGACACTTTCTGCTCTGTCAAGGAGTTGGCTTCAACTCCCTCTGCAGATAACAATGTTCTCTCCTTATAAACAAGGGAGAGGCATTCCAACTGGGAAATTTACTTTTCCCCAAGCTATCAATCATAACAGAACTACTCTTTGTCTCTTTTGAAGTTATTTCTCAAACACAATCTTTGAACTCAACATACATCTCCTGAAATAAAGTTGCAAATGGTTAATACTTCTTATTATCTGGGTGCCCAATTCTAGTTCTGTGGCAAGAGTCTTGTCATTTCTTGGTAATTGCATCTGAAAGTCAGGCTGAGTATGTTAAACAGTTATTAGGTGAAAAACAAAACAAACAACAACAAACAAACAAACAAAACATATCGCAATTTACCAATTAAGAGATAGATGACTCCCTATTTGCAAGTTGCCAAAGGGCTCATTCTAGACACTCTGTAAATGTTGACCAAGCATTTTAGATTATATGTAGTAGGTGTTTTGGAAATAGTTCTTTAAAATTCCAGTAGAAGGCCAGGCATGGTAGCCCACACCTTTAATCCCAGCACACATGGGCAGTTGGATCTCTGTGAGTTCAAGGCCATTCTGGTCTACAGAGGGAATTCCAGGACAGCCAAGGGCTGCCCAGAGAAACCCTGTCTCAAAACAAAACAAAGCAAAGCAAACAAGCAAAAAAACAGACAAAAAAAAAAAAACAACAAAAAAATACCACTAGACTGGATCATGAACATTTATGATGGCAGGCATACTGTCAGGGATCAGAGACACCCCTTAAGAAGCCTGAGTCTGGGATTCTTGAATTGTTTCCCTGTTTCTCATTAAAAACCTTTACTCCTAATCCTGCCTCCTCTGTCACTGCCTGTCCTAGAGTTTTATTTCTGTGAAGAGACACCATGACCAAGGCAACTCTTATAAAGGAAATATTTAGCTGGGGCTGGCTTACAGTTTCAGATGTTTAGCTCATTATCATCATGATGGAAAGCATGGCAGCATGCAGGCAGACTTGGTACTGGAGGTGCCAAGAATTCTACCTCTTGATCCAATGGCAGCTAGGAGGAGGCTCAAGTTCTACCCTGGGCATAGCTTAAGCATAGAAGACCTAAAAGCCCATCCCAACAATGACACTTTTCCTCCAACAAGGCCACACCCACACCAATAAGGCCATTCTCTGTGGGCCAAGCATTCAAATACGTGAGACTAGGTGAGGCAAATCTATTCAAACTACCATATTTTACTCCCTGGCCCATAAGCTTGTAGTCATAACATAATGCAAAAGGCATTTAGTTCAACTTCAAAAGTCCCCATAGTCCTTCACAGTCTCAACAGTGTTTAAAAGTCCAAAGTTCAAAGTCCCTTCTGAGATTTCTACAATTTCTTTTAACTGTAATCTCCTATAAAGCCAAAATCAAAAAGCAGATCACTTACTTCCAACATCACAGAATATATATTTTCATTTAAAATGTCATAGTGAGCAAATACTTGACCAAAGTAAGACCAAAATCCAGCTGAGAAAACTCCAAACTCTTCATCTCCATGTGTGATGTCCAACTCCTTTCAGCTTTGATGACTGCAACACAATTCTTTCATTTGGGCTGGTTTTCTCCCCTTAACAGGGCTTTTCTCAGGAGGTATCCACGGCTCTGACACCTCTAACATTTTGGGTTATCCAAGGCAACTTCAACTTCAGTTTCTTTTTCAAATCTCTGGGATCCACGTATGATCTTCTGGGCTCCTCCAAAGGGCTTGGGTCACTTCTCCAGCTCTGCCCTCTGGAACACTCTAAGCTCTGGCTAGCTCCACTCCACTACTCCTGCTGTTCTTGGTACTGGCTTCTCCAATACACTGAGATCTTCTGCTGCAACTAGGCTGCCCTTTCACTAATAGCCTCTCATGGGCTCCTTTCACGGTCCCAAGGTTCAACTTCAACTGCCACTGAGGCTGCACCTTCACCAATGGCCTCTCCTGGACTCTCACAATGCCAAGCTTTAGCTTTTCTGTATCACCCCTCCATGCCTCCAAAACCAGTACTACCTGGGTGACACATTTCAAAGTCTGGCAGCCAACATGAGGTCTACCTCTGGGACATAGCCTCTTTGCACTCTCAGAAAACACTTCCAAGAAAATTTTACCTCAGTGATGCTGGTTTCTTCTTAAGCACCACTAATTTCTTAGCACCAGCTAACCAGCATCTGTTCTTGATTGTAAAGCCAGAGCCACATGACCAAAGCTGCCAAGTTGTGCTGCTTGCTGGGGCTGGAACATGACCTCCTCTTTCGATTACATCTACACAAGTTTTCTGTTTCTGGTGATTTTCTTTACTTCCTAATGTAAAGAAGTTTTAATTCAGAGCATGGCTGCTCTGGAAAGAGACCACATCCAAAGTCCACCTACATCTGTGTGATCCGGTTGGAGTAAAAACAAGCTTTCTGTAGGTATAGATACAAATATAGTCAAGATGACAACCCAGAATAACCATCACAATCCATCCCTTGTCATTCCTTGTTGCTTTGATGCCCTGGTCTGTGTCAGAACAATTCTGGAATGATATTGAGGGCATC